GTTTTTCAGTTTAATATCGCCCGAATATAATGCCATAAATTTAATTTTATAGGAATCAGTGAAAAAATTATGTCCCATGTATCATTTTGAATTTTTCTGGTCATTGATCTCGCAAATTTGCTACTATCGATTATCCATTATTTTTGATCATCGGCCCGATTACTCTGACCTGTATGTCCAGTCTTCCTTTCTTTGCACCTTCCCACTAGCGCCTTCTCCATTTTCTCTCAAAATGGTCATTCAAAGGTGTTTGCAAGGCGAAAGCTTTTAGGTAAATCCCTTTTGAGTGCTGGCGGAGGCCAGAGGCACTTTGCGCGAGTGTTCGCAGTATTTTGAGCAGTATTCTTGTTGTTCCCTTAGTGTTTGCATGAGCGCCCGAATTGCTCTTACTTATCTCCCATAATAACCTTTCAATGGAGTTTAAACTGCACGAGTATAAAGTATACGAGTGTTATATGGCAAAATTTCAAATATTTCAAAGTGTTTTTAGTTTCACACTTCCAGAATTAATATTTCAACAATTTGTTGAGACTTATGCTGTTTGGACCTCATTTTTTTCCTACCATTGCATATTCTTCGGCAAAAATAGGGTTCACAAATATATTGTTTGTATTGAACTTTACATTTAATCCGTACATTTGCGTAGTGTTTTGTACGCGCAATGACTTTTACAAATTTTGAGAGAATTTGACCATTCTTTTCTACAGCCCTTATCAAATTGCGATTAGCTTTCGATTCTAGACTAAAAAAAGCTTAATAAAGTTCTATATGTCATGTCTGCATGTTGAAAAGCAGACCAATGATGATAAGTATTACTTTGTAGTTACGATAACATCCATAAGATCATTTTGTTAAGATCATTGATTAATAAGTGATTCGCTAAAAACCCTAGAAAAATCCTCTTTCAAACATAAACATCGTACTCACATTGAACATCTGCAATCAATTCTCACTTATCTTCACCAGTAGGAATTCACTGAAAGTTTTTAGACTGAATTTTTAATAGCTCTAATGAAAGATGAAAAGATAATTTTGAGGCTAAAAATAGTGTAACCTTCCTTTCTCTTCCCCTTTCTCCACCTCTTTAACTTTTTCTTTAAATGTAGGTGATTAGAACCGATCTCAATAGTTCTTTTTACGAAATTTCTTTATATCCTGCAATTGTAGATATCAACCACTCATTTTTTGAAAAATTTTACCCTCAATAAGGGCCTTGGGAAAAGCCCATATGTAGCTTGTAACATAAATTAATATCAATAATAATTTTTTTAAATCCTTTTAGAGGCTGATGGCTATGCTAGTTCTTAGAGATCCCCGGTTAATTTGAAGTCTATGAGTAAGCTCCAAATTCTTTGTGGTATTCTTTCTTAAACATCTTCTCTTACATCTACTCTACACACTCTCTAAATGCTCGACTTTGAAATTTTTTTGCCGGAAATTGTCACTTTTCCAGGAACATTGTGTCACTCTACTTTAAATACATTGCTTTGCAACAATCCCAGTCTTCCTGGATCTCTTGTTTTCCCAACTGCGTTGTGCCTTCGGGCACCGCTGCCATCGTTCATCGCTGTAAAGAGCGAGAGTGGGCGTCTCATCGTCGTTGTCGGCGATCAATCCACTGAGGAATCATCGCTACTGTTCTGACTCAATCCCCGGAACTACTAAAATTTGATTTCAAGTTTTTTCTTATTGATCGATTTGGCATTTCATAGTTGGGTTTTTATTGATGTCTTTAGAGAGACTTGGGATGCTTAGAGAAGCTCTGAGGTGGATTTAGGTAGTTATGGCTAAAGTTATTTCTTTGATGACTGGAAAAAAGAAGTTACTGGTGATATAAAATTAATTTTGCTATTTTCAATTATTGTATATTTAATGTTCCTCAACCTTTTAAATCTGACAGAATTCCATCATCTCCTCATCTTTCAGTCTTTCTTCTCCAGAACTTTTATTTTTTCAAAGTTCTGTTGATATTGGTTAAGGTATCTTTCTGAAAATTCGTGAGAAGACTTCTCAAAAATTACATGCTGTAAAATAGTTTCGCTAAGCATATCTCACTGATTTGACGCCTTATGTCGACTCTGATTAGTTTCAAATCAGTATTCAACTCAAATTTTGTGAAGCTCCAAAATCGATGACAGTGGACCATAACGTAATAGTTTAATTTCAATTTTTTATAATTTCAAAAGCATTCCTTTTTATGTATCCGTAGTTTCTTCTATAGACGCAATGTCATTTCACAAAATTATAAGATGTGGCTATCTAAAATAGTA